CTTTTTGTCAGCTCACACAAGCGATTATTGATCGCTTGCCCACGCCGCTGGCTCGCCCATTACTACTACTTGGATCGATGATAATTACAGGCTTTGCCAAACTTGTGACAATTAAGTACGGTTAGCGCGCGATCTATTTGATTTGACTGGAAGGTGAGTCTTGGTGTATAGCAATCGTACAAGTTCAAACAAATAGCACTGTATCAGAATTGCCTTTCTGAAAATTAGAGTTTATGCGAATTTCTTGCATCAGTTATGCAAGAGTCAAAGAATTTTTTAAAGTACTGTCAGGTCTGAACCGCCAGAGTGTTTTATTATCGCGCAAAGCTAACGAATGCAATAGTAATACTCTCGTCGAATCATGCGGGCAATACAGTTGGACAACTCTTTGATCTGGTAAATGAGCGGAATAGCTTTTGAGATACGCTTGAATTTTACTGACGCACGCAGGTGCTTGTATAAACGTCATAACTGCCAGTGAAAATGTACGAGCATGAAATACGCGATAAGCTTACATCTCATCAATTGGAATATGTTCTTGTCAATAACGCTGATATTTTCCATCCGAATGCTGCGACTTTCAATATTTTCAAATGAAGTCGATCATTTGATTATTAACAAGCAGCTGGCTTAGTCAAGCGCGCAAAATCATTTGCTCTGAATCGAAATTGAAATCCGACAGAAATGCAATAACGAAGTTTCGACACTAAATGACAATCGAAAAATCCGCGCTGGTTTGAAAAGAAGCTTTCAGCTCGTTTATAACGTGAGCCAAAGGTCTAATTACTTGGTAGCAAAACGAACTCGTCGCGGGAAGGAACTAAGCGAGGTGGAAAGTCACGTGGTAATGGGCCTACAGTGTTTGGGCTGGGTAATGCTGGGCCGAGTATAAAGTTTAATTCAACAGATTTAACGGCCGAGATCGAAACGCTAGCACGCCGAGCGCAGATTGATTTGACGCGTGAAGAGCAATGAGGTATGTGTTTAATACTCTTCGGAAGTGCGCAGTTGCCTGTACTCGCTTTTATTGCAGAAGGTAAAGTATCGATCGGAGCTAAAATTAAAAAATACCAAATGCACAATGGGCAGCTATTCGTTCCCAACTGAACACAACGCCACGACAAAAACGTTGCTGCATATTATACGTACAATGGTACTTGTTTCGGAGCTTACCTGCTGACTAATTAATAGTCGGCCTCTCTCTCTCTCTCTCTCTCTCTCTCTCTCTCTCTCTCTCTCTCTCTCTCTCTCTAAGTAAACGAGATTGTCTCTTGCGCGGCGCGCTAATTGTTCGCTGATATTAATGTCCCTTGAAAGGCGAAGCGGAGAGGGCAAGGCATGCCCTTTCAACTGAGGCCAGTCGTCGCCTCGAGAAAATAGCGTAAAAGTACGCTTGAAAGTATCGTCTCTCTCGCTCTCTAAATATAAATCTGTTGATCTATTGTTGCGTAGAAGCAAACTGCATATTGCATACTCGCAGAAAAGAAAACGCTCTTCGAGCGTGCTCTTAAAACAACAAAAAGACAATGCGTACGCGAAAGAAAAGCAAACTCCGAGCAAAGGCAGCAGCGTGTCACATGCAAATCCGATCGCGCGCCATCCACCGCGCGAGAGACAATGCAACGCTGACTAATGCAGGCGCTTGTGCCTTTGCAGGGCAGATTGCTTTATGACGCGCCGCGAGCATTCGGCGCACGGACCATACCTACTCGTATCATTAGTCCGTCCAATTGGCTTCGATATATATGTCATATACCACGTGCTCCTCCTCGCTGTGTTTTGTCGCCTTTCGTTGCATTACATACGCTATATTGCCGAACGTTCGAGTCGCTTGCATCGCTTCTTTGTCGCGCGAAACACTTATTTCCTGATAAACGACACGAGCTATGCGCAAATTTAGACTCACTGCTGAAACCTTCCGACAACTGGCACAACTAGCATTTCTCATTACGCAACTGCTTCTGAAACTATTTTGAGTAGCTCGAGCTCGTACTTATACTCGAGACTAGAGCGAGAAGAAATACAATGAAGCTAAAAGCCTTCGTTAAAGGGAGGGATCATGCGATACTTGACTTGAACATTACATTGACAAAGAAATTTTGCGAAGAGCCCACCTATCTCGAGTGCTACGAGCGAAACCAAACCGACTTGGAAATCTCGAGCAACAGAGAAAACTTGAGTGATTGATTAGTAATTTAATGATATATTTAAAATAATCTCTGCTTACACATGTCGGACATATGGATTTTGACTTTGAAAAGTTTTGTTGATGTATAAGAAAGGCCCATTCGTCGGACGAGAGTATTCGAACAAGTGGAGAACAAGAGTAATATGCCGTTTCACTCTGTATTTCGACTAATATTATTAGTAAATTTTTTGATTTCGACAGTCCTACATCGATTTGAAAATGATGAATTTTCTTTCACGTTAATAAAGCTAGCTTGCATGTATGGCGAAGCTCTCTCAAGTATAAGCATCAATAGAAAAACTAGAGCGTGTGATTAAAAAAGCTGCGAAGGCGAGAGAGAGGATTGTAAAAAATCGATGGAGTAGTGCGCGTGAAAAATAATTACGAGGCGTTGCGTGTAGTCTCGGCCTTAATTAGCTTCCTTGGAAATTCATCAGGCTCGTAGCTCATCAGCTGCCTACTTGCATCACTCAACAAACCGTCCCTTTTCTGCTAAAAGCAAAAAGCTCGTGTGGGAAGCAGCTCTTGGCATAGAAATGCACCTACGCTGGCAATAACGAGCGTGCACAAGATCGCACAGCTCCATTGTTCTCAGAGGAAATAGCGTATTATCTAACGATTGACCCCATGAAAATAATTCCTCAAGGTAAAATCTAAACTTTTATCGAAAGCTCAATCTACTTTTTGTTTGGCGCCATCTGCTCCGCGAAACCTGGCAGCTGACAAGTCAGGAGCTCACGGAGATATGTGCGAAAACTGCAGAGTGAGGGCAAGCGAGAAAAAGGTGCCAAGTCGAACGACGAAAAATGCATATTCATATCACGACGTAGCAGCAGGCTGCACATTGAAACTGAAACTCACCACGGCTACATGCAAATGGAGTTGAGCCCAGGGCGTGGGATGCGGCGTGAAGTAATTAGATTCCGCACGTGTGTGACGAGAGCCCAAAATCGCGCAACTGTTTGGAGGCTTCGTATAGGCGCCGCCGGCGACTTGAGCTTCGTCGCGTCGACGGCGCGGCCGTAAGCTTCTGTCTGGCTGACGTGCGCATATCATTCGAGTATAATTAGCTCTGTAGACTTGCGATATTTCGTGGAGCAGTGGCGCGAACGTTGAAAGTTGGGGAAAGCGTAACTGGAAACGCGATTGAATCAAGTAGCAAAGGAAAAGCTCTTTTCCGTCTACTCTGCGCAGGCTTGCGTCAACACTCATATCGGCCTTGAAAGGAAAAGTCCTCGTCCCCATTCAGACGATAAGCTCGGCAAACTCTCTTTTCAAAAGCTTTTTACAAGATAGCTCGCTCGCGCATGCTTGGCCGTTGGAAAAGCTTCTGAAAAATTGCCTTTTTACAAGCGCGTATGGTCTCGCGCGATCATCCTTTTCCAGGATTTCGCTGCTCTCTCTCTCTCTCTCTCTCTCTCTCTCTCTCTCTCTCTCTCTCTCTCGTCCCGATGAATTTACGGTCTAGCGGCCGTGCGAAGCTCGTAAAAACCGCTTGAAAAATGAAATGCAGCGCCGGAGTCTACTAGCTTTAGCTTGATTCTCCTGCGCGACTGTCGCACTTGCCCCGAGCTGCAAGCAAAGCTTTACCCCAGAATGTGGACGGTGGACAGCCTTCATTTCTCGCCCATTGCCTCGCTATCAACTCTCTGTGAATCTCATTGCCGAATCCGTTGGATTTCCTCGTTGAGTTAGTGCCAAAATCTGTCCTTTTCTTGCGTTGCCATGTGTAACTTTGTTACTCGCGTGGATATTTAATTAGATTAAAGAACAAAGTTTTCTTTTATTACTCGAGCCGTGCGTTAATGCTTCGATGTTAACGAACAGCGGCCAAGAGTAGTAACATTAAACTTAAGCTATATTTAACAAACGGAAAGTAAATATATAAAGTGAACCAAGCCTAATTTGCTCTCTGAACGCTTCGAGAGAATCTGATTTTAGTCTATCGCAGCAAACTCGACGGTAATTGCCACGGGTGTTTACAAACTTTTCGACAAATTATTTTCCATTAGTTAAGAAAGTAAGTGGAAAGGACATAGGCTGTTACAAATGAAGGTGTACTCGTAGTAAAGTATAACAATCAGTTGATTTCTGTTCGGAATTCCACTTCTATTTTTATAAACACTGACTGTTCTATTCCTTACAAGAGTAACAAGCTTGCTACAAACAAAGATTACTTGTTATATGTACAATGTATTATTAACAACCATCATTGCAGCAGAAAACGTTAACTATATGACTAGATATACATTTCATGGTATAAACAGTGTTGTGATTTTTGATTTGACAAAGATCCATTTACTTCAGCGTAATATGCTTACTCTGCTTGTAATAATAAATAAACGTTTTAATATAACATTTTAAGAAAATCTGTAGTTTTGAAATGTTACGCTGAGGTAAACAGATCTTTGTCAAATTAATATTCACAACACTGTTTACTCTGTGAAATGTATAATCAGTTATATAGTTAACGTTTCTTGTGATGATTATTAATATTGAATTATACATATAACAAGTACTCTTTATTTAGCAGTAAGTTCACCACTCTTGTCAGTGATAAAACAGACAATGCTTATAAAAATATAAGTGGACTTGCAAACAAGAATTGTAGTCATGATGCATAGTGGAATAATTTCTAGGGACCTGGAGAGCAATTTTTCGAGCGGTAACGCCTTTGCTCATTTCTAATTGATCAAAAATAAAAACGAAGGGACTTACGCCATACCGTAACTTCCAAATCGGCCAGATTGTTGAAAAGTGCGAGCAACAAGTTTTTTTAAATTACAAGGTTATAATATAATTAAGTATAACATTTACATTTGCAAAAGCATAATATTTTATTTATCGACTTTGAGTTTGCATCAATTATTTCTCGCCGAAAGTCGATTCCTTGTCGAGGTCGATGTCGCATACGTGTATTCTCAAAATATTCTGCAATAAAAATAGTCAATTATTACTCTCGAATACTCAGATAAATTGAAATATAGCATTATTATCAGACCTTGCAGAATGCGACGGCCATTTTAATAGTTTCAGCGTCTTGGAGTATGCCGTCAGCCTTAATTTCGGCATTACTCTTTTCGCAAAATTCTTTGTAGTTGGAACACGTTATATGTTCCTAAAAATCGTTACGTAAATATTAAGCAAACTTCCCAAGATCTATGATCAATTATTTATCACCTTTTCAATGGTATTTTTCAGTCTTTCCATGGTGTACTCAGCAAAATCAAAAGCCTACAAATCACCGCTCAGATTAAAATCGAAATTCAAATTGTTCGTTGAAATACATAATTGTACACAACAATCACAAATACTCACCAAGGTCATTCGAAGCAAACATACCAAAGCCAGAGTGGTAAATAGCAAAGTTATAAAGTGGCGGATCATATTCAAATTACTGACAATTTTCCAAGTAGCGATAGCCAAATCAAGTTCTGTAAGAAGAGTTATTGCACGATCAGTTGTGTCTGATCATTTATATTAAAAAGCTAGTGTGCGTACGCGATAGATAACAACGTTTCTTGAATAAATATAAATAATCAAGTGTTTCGACTGTTTTTTTCCCTTATGCTAATTGTTGAAGATACGAATGATTCATTACAATCGAATCAAATTAAATCATTTTCCAGATTGTTTACACTCAAGCAGATGCGTTGCGAATGACGATGCCTGTTGACACATCGATTACGCCATTGGATATTAGTACACTCGCGTCAAATGCTAGCTATTTGCAAGAAAAGCAAATTTATCGACCAAGAATACCATATTTATCGACTACGATATATACTGAATGGTTTCTTTCCGTTCATCGCGTTATGATAAATTTCCCGTCTCGTCGAGCCAGTCAAAAAGGCCAGAAGCCAAGGAAGGTCTTTAGCTGGTCAATATTTGTTCCATGCACATCGCACGCACAACTCGGCATAATGGAGCTTTGCATTGTTGAGCTTGCGGGGACAACCGAGAGACTAATCCAAGGAATTAAAAAGGGAGTCAGTCACTGTGCAACGGCTTCCTCTCCCTTCGTTGAAAATTCAAATTCGCGCCTTCTTATATCAAAGCCCGCTCTCTTAATTAAGCGCCTCAACGGCCTTCGCGGCTAAGGATTATCTCATTAAATTATGGTTATCAGGTGTACTGATTTTCCCACATTTGTGCTAACAAATTTTTCTATTAATAGTGCACTTAATTACATCTCTCTTTTTTAATTATTCCATGAAAATAGTCGTATATTAATGGACTTTCTCATTCAATTTTACAAAATTTGCAAGACTTCTTTCTATATAGTCATTTCTGTTCTCTATAACGAGTATGCAAATTACAGCGAATATTCAGCAGCAAATATTGAATTAATTAATCACATCCAAGCTTCTGCCGTCCACTGCCTTCTCATTACTTGCGCCAAGAAGATTACGATTGTTCAATAATTCAGAAACATCTATTGACCGGTAAATCATCGATTATAAAATAGTTTTCAACTCTACTTTCATCTCAGTCGATTGCAAAAACATCTCATGGAAACAAAAGAAAAAGTTTGAGACAACGCATCGGGCAAGAAAGTTAATATCGATTCATCGATTTCTTGTTTTAACATACGGAGGCCTCATTAGTAGTAGAGCCGATTGTTTTGCTCTGATCGGGTTGACAAATAAAACGTACGTGCAAGCTAAAAAATGACCTTCTTTAAAACAGGCTTCGATTCTTATTGTAAAGCAAAATATAAAAGTTCTCGTTAATTTTAGGTGTAGAAAAATGTAAGCGCCATTTGTTAAATAATTTATCAATTGTCGTCGATGGTCGGCTTCGTTTTCTTAGATTCGCGCGATATGACAGAGAAGTATCAGCCACAAAAGACTACCATCGGATGAATAATCTATTGCAAAGGCCGTCCTCTCTTCTAGAGATTTTCTAGATTTTGGATGACGTTGTTGAGAAAGCATTTTCTTCATCATACTATTCGACGAACGAATTGCAGTGATTTTTGATCTATGACACTTGTTATATTTTATACTTGACTTGACGATAAAAAAATCATGCTGGCGATATTGTTGAGAAAAAGTAGGCAATCAGATGATGCGAGTTTCATAATACACCATTAACGTTGCGCCGAAAAGTCTGCAATATCGACTAGAAATTTGTTTTTGTTTTCTAATTGAATGATTCGTAACTCATGCATGTTCATATTTTTCCAAGTAGCTTTTTATTTGAAGTCTGGAAAGGACGCAGCATTAATAGACTGGCATCTTGCTTAATGAAAGGATGAAACGATGCAAAGTGACACAATATATAATACATAATGAAAAAGTGATTGTGGTTTGGCCGTTTACATAATCTTAACAAAGTCAAGCTTGCCAAAGTACAATATTATCGCAGCTTTACAAGTACCTCGAGAGAGCACTACTCGCGTAGAGATTTACAAACGAACTCATATAATAATAATAATTTGCAAGTGCAAGTTATATAGGTTAGTTTACCTTGCGGCTTTACGACTTGTTCACTCGCCGCTGCGCCAGGCGCAACTATGCAACTGTAATTTCAAATCCAGGCGGCGTAACCAAGTCGTTCCATTCCCCTTTTCTTACCGTTCGCGAATTCCGGTATTACGTATCAGCTTGTGAATCACCGAGGCGATGAAAAAAGTGGACTTTTGCGTTTGAAGCAAGGTTACTCGGCGTCGTTCCCATGGCCAATTATTTCTACTGATTGTGAGAATCCGCGCAAAGCGTAACATCTGCGCGACGTTTCGTTGGAAAATCCGCGAGACGTTTTAAATCTCAAAAGCGAGACGCGACCTTGCTTGCTATCTTCACGGCTGCAAATGAATTATTCCGAGTGCTCTCTCCACCAAACTACGTTATCACTTTATAGGAAAACTCGTAAAATGTTCAACCGGTTCTTCTTATCTAACGAGACCGATCCACCTTGTACTCGTTGATCGCGCTAGCTCGGATCGATACTCGGATAATATATCTGCACGACACTTTTACTTATTTATTCATGCGTTTTCAGCACCCCCTTATACTTTATAATATTGTATTTACTTTAGAATATCCCTTAATAAACTTGTTTTTTTTTTCATAATCTGGACGCGATGTGTGAGTGTAGTAACATGATATTATTCCGAAAGTGTCATTCGAAGAATACTAATATTGTTTGTGCAAAGCATATCAATATGAGTGATATATACAAACCTAATAACAAATCCAATTAATCAATTTTTCTTTTAAATCTTTATCGGGAGTTCACACTATAGATGTCCAACAAGTGCTTTGCAATTCACTTTGCAAGAAGCCACTTTTCCCAAATGACTGCATTTATGCGCAAGTGCAGTGTCTGGGCATCGAGACAGTCTACCGTTGAATGAGCGTGGTAGACGTGCCTTTTCCTCTCTTCTTCTCAATGGTATCATTCAATGAACTCGTAGCGCGTCCCTCAAATGGCCTTCAAGTATTATTTTTCATCGCGTGCGCACTTATATGCATACTTTAAATTGTCGTCTTTCTCTTTACAAAGCACTTCTGCTTCTTATTCAGCTCTCGTTTCAATTAGGAAGAATATACAGCAATATATACAGCACAGCATTGTAGAGGCAAACCCAACTCAAATTAGCGATAGCACTTAATCAGAGCTGAATATCAGCATTTCCCTGATAACACGGACGATCATCAAGAAAACTGTTGCGTGTGCCTTACTCGGAACATCAAAGAAACAAGAAAGAAGTGTTAAATGCAACAAAATCTCAAGATTAATTAAAGTTAGCCAGGTATCCGTTTGAAGGCAGGGCAGATGGAAAAAAATCCTGTGCGTGCTCACTCTGACGGCGCAACACAATTTATCAACTGACTCGCATATATCGTGTGTACGCACACTGAAAGCAGGCGGAAGTGGACGCTTACGAGTACATAATAAATCATCGAAACGTTTGGTTTTCTCGGATTTATCAAGAAATTTATTAAATAAAGAGTAGATATTAAAGACTATCTCGATGCAATTTGATACGTGAAAGAAGAAGTAAGCACGAAGTAAGGAAAAAAATCATAAATGATAAAAGGCTTATAATTAACCAGAGGAATATTCATAAAACAATCCTTTATTTCCTATTTGCATGAGCTGAAAATGAATAGGCAAGTATCACTGCGGTAAGGCATAAATCTCTCTCTCACTCACTCGCATAGTAGCATGCAGGAGAGAGCAACAAATTGCAGCGAGTGAATATGAAACAGTTCCACTTGTAAGAGGTCAAAAATTAGCAAATAAATAAAAGCTTAAATTATTCCTTTGAAACGTGCGGGCACGCGCTATTCAAATTAACCGCACAATACTTCGCCAACGTTGGTGCATAAAAAAGACCATTAAAAGACTGCGCAGGGGGAGCAGGAACTAAAGACCTTTTAACCCTTTTTTTCTCTGTTATAATCGTAAATTCTCCAAAAGAATCTTCGACCTTCTCTTTCCTCCAGCCTCCCCACCACCCTCTCTCTTCTCGCTCTCTTGCCCGCGCGGCTCGAAAGTGAAAAAAAGCTTTTTCGAGGAACGTTCACGTTGTTCTATTAATGGATACGAGACTCTTGCGCTAGCAACGAACCTTATAGCACGTATAACCTTGGTCAACGCAGTTTGTGTTGTGCTAGCCATAAGCTTGCTGTAATTAAAACTGTTTTCACGGACGCCGCTTCTTTTATACTATTGGTGCAACAACAGACTTTTTTTTATTTATCAAAAAGAAAGGAGCTTTTGTCGGACAAAAATGAATGTTATGGGATTGTTCACACTCACTCTGTGGTCGATCAATAATCTGTCAGTACTAAGTGAAATACGTTGAATGTAAAAGTTAGTGAAGTTATAGTTAAAGTGTTTGACAAAAAGCTGTCTGCTATTTCTATAGAGATACATACTCGAGACCATACGATGGTTACGTCACTAGTTAATTTAGAGCATGCTTGGATGTTGCTGAAGATGTTGCTGAGTGATACTTATAGATATAGATTCAAAATTATGTTCTGCTTGTCACGAATTTTTTTCATTTTTCAATGTCGTTATAATCAACAAAATACATGTTCTTTTCCGTGAATATAGTTACGACTTTTGAATCTTACCTGCAGTTAGAGCACTTTAATGAAGCTATCGTTCAATTTTTAACTGATTCTTATTTTCAATACTATCAGCTACTATACTCCTTTAATAAGATTGATCAATCATATTTAAGAGCAGATAATTATTTACGGGAAACAGAAATACCATCAGCTTTAAATTCTACGTACGTACTTGTTTGTATCAGTTAGTTGTCAATTTTTCCTATATTTTTCTGTGCAGAAAGCATTAGAATCATACTCAAACAAACTTGATCGATTAAAAAATCAGCCAGAAATAATAAATTGCGTTTCCGGAGACGTTAATTATAACGCACGCGTGATAAGAATAAAGTTATATTGAGAACACTGATTTTCCATTCCATCAACGTCGATCAGATAAGACAATGTTCAAATAGAGATATTCCATGTAATATATAGTACATCAAGTATTATAAAAATACTTGAACGTATATATTTAGTGCCAAGAATATTTGACATTTTAGTAAAAAAAGTGAGCAAGGCTAACTTATATATTCAGAAAGTTCGATTCGAAATTGAAGTTTGTGCTGCAGAGCAAGCTGTGCAAGTCAAAGCCATATCGGCACGTAATGTCGCGCAGGTCTTTGCCAAAGTAGATCACGTCGCCGTTGGGCCTTTGGCCAGCACAGAGTACGAAAGTGTATAGCGAACGTAAAGGTTTCATTGATGCGAATCGGTAATTGCATCAATAGTCTACGTCAACACTCGGAGAAAAGAGTCGACATATGTAAAATTTTCACGTTTATGAAGTTACAGAGAACTAAAATGACACGACGTAATTCAGGCACGAAAGACTAGATCTTGCAAGACCGTTTGACGAACTGATTATCGGTAGCTTATTGGTGTATCGAAAATATGTGTGTCGACGCAGAGAATGAGCTATCATTACCCCGAGAGTTTGCTGAATAGATAAGTTAAAGCTCGTGCTTCCACTATAACTATGTATCGATAAGTGCGTTTATAATGTAATAAGCTGCGAGCTCTGCGGGATATGTTCACTGATATTACCTTTAAATCACAATTTATCCAACGTCGAATGGATATTCAGACAAATAAATACAATGTTGGCTCTTGAATTTAGAAAAAAATATTTAGAAGTAAAACAGATTTATTTGCACAACCACGTACAATTTTCATAATTAATGATTAATTAATTTTAACGAGAAATGTTTGATCCGATATTGAGCGATGAACTTAATCTTGTGAAAATAATGAAACATTCATTATTTAAAGTTGAATACCATGAAACAATGAACTTTGTAAGCTTTAAAAATATCAAGCTTTACGCTGTATGAAATAATAATTTAACTGTCGATCGCATTTTTCTAAAACAGTACTACTTCGTGTAGTGAATAAATTATAAAAAAACGAATATATTATATAGTTTTTTACTTGTCTATATCATTATGATTAACGCAAGATGAAAACTTATTCGGAATTTAAATTAAGTTCGATTTCATTCATCTCTGAATAAAGAAAATATTTGAAATGCACGAAGAGTTTGTTCTTTGTCTACACTTTGAAATGATACTCCGCAGTTTCTTGCCCATTTTTAGATTAACTACGACGTTTATTATGCATACATTGAACATCTGTTGCGGCGTTCAGGCCCACGTTAATTCAGACCCACCTGCAACAGCGAAACAAATGAAAAAACCCTTAAATTTATTTAACAAGCCATTAATTCCATTGAAAAAGTACGTCATACTAAATATCAACTACATTACTACTTATATAAATGTCGTACGAAAATGAAGAAAAACAACAATGAAACGATAATCGAAAATATACCGAAAATAAGAAGTAAATTCACCTAACGATTCAATAATACGATGAACGAAAAGCGAAAAGTAAGGGGCAGGCGTTCTATAATAAAATATAACGAAGCCATAAAATCGCTGGGTTTGTTATCCTTTGAAAGCCGCTCGACTATATTTCAAGCTTTCAAGTGTCGATCATTAAACAATAAGCCTCTCCTAAGCAGAGATGCGCAAGCACACCTCCTTTGCGTCGAGCATTAAAATGCACGGTGGCCTTTTTTCCGTGCTCCTTTGCCTTCGTTATGCTATTGCCGGGGAGCAACGAACGGATGGGTCGTTCCACCTAGTGCGTCTATATGGTTTTCTTGCAATAAAAGCTCGCGGCAAGAGATGTTAACCTGCTCTCCTTCAGAAAGCTGCGCACACTTGCGCCGCAACGCCGGAGGTGAGTTGTATCTGGTGGAGCAAGTTTATAGTTTGAGGGCGGCAACTTTAACATCACCTACCGCGTGCGCGTGAATATATAGTGTATACATGGTATACGTTGGCGCTTTTGTACATCACTTTACCTCTTGTGTTCTTGTGTTTCCATCTCTTTTTCATCCTGTTGTTCACGAGGAGCGCCCAGTTT